TCAGGTTAACTAGGCCAGCACAGATGGTTAAGATGTTGTCCAGTTTCGGTGCCATGCTGATGGGAACATTCTGGGATAAAATCTTAAACACCTTCAGTCTCTGGATTGCTCTTTCCACATGTATGCGGACATTGGCTACCCATTGGGTCTGGGCATCTCGAAATGTTGGTGTAGCAGGCTCGGCCTCACAGACAGGCTGACAGGTTTCTGGAGCATCTAAAAAGGGGAAGAGAAAACATGGATGGAGCAAAATTAATGCAGGCATAGAGTCCTCTCACTACAAACATCACAATGGAAAAATGTGTACTACAACATTGCACTCACACGCACACACACAATCATCATCACAACAGCCTGCCACCTTGCATTGTATTTATGATGTAGACTAAGGCACACGCAGGCAGGCACACACACACACACACACACACACACACACACACAATTAATGATGTAGCTATCGTGGGCATTGTTTGTCCCATCTCCAAAACAATCAATTGCCATAGCAAAATACCGGTAGCAATGTTAATGTATGACAACTTCTTCATAATTAACAGTATTGTCAGCTTCATAGCTAAAGTTGCTGAACTTACCCTCAGATTCAAGTCTGCGTTTCTTTATCTGGGAGGAGGCAGTGGTCCGCTGGGTGAGTTGACGCCTATTTGGCTGGAGAGGGCGATTGTATCCCAACCACAACTCTGGGAAAGGATTATCCTTGGTAGGTTTTTGGTCAACAAAGTGATAGGAACAAACAAAAACGTTGAGGGGTGGTTTCTTTAGATTCAATGCCTTCAGCCAGGTCCTTGATTCCGAGTCGGTATCAGGCTTGCGAAAAAATTAAACAATGCATGGACATTGCCTCTTTGTAGCTGGTTTGTGGTCGTAGCACTCTCTATCTAACCACTCGTTCAGGTGCTTTCTCGAGTTTTTGCAACCAACTACCGCACACGTCGTTCCCGAACCACTTTTCTTCATGTTGTAATTGTAATTTTTATATCCTCTTTGTCACTGCGATATCAGTGCTTTGTCGGCACAACGGAGCTAGCTAGCAAAACAAACCCAGCCCGGCAGAACGGAACTGGATTGCATCGACGGGAGGAGTTCAGGAAGTAGAGCGGAAACGGCTCAAAAACTTGTCTATAGGCCCCTGCATATCATTCCACTTCCCTCTTCCTGAATACTGTTCACACTCTCGCAAATGTCCTCCAGCCTCTTCTGCGAAAAAGCCCTGCCCACATACAATACAGTGGCCATTCCACAGTCCCCTTCCATTTACAGATACTGGATATAACAGAATACATTGTTCTCCCTTTGGCTCTCCTCCTGAATCATGGTCACACCATCCTACACCTCCGCCATATATTTCTGCACAGCCTGGTCTCAGACTATACGTAACATATGAAATGTAAATCCGGGACACTGAAATTGGTATGATATGATTACATAAGACAGAAGGTTACTTAAGGCAAAAACGAAAGTAGGGTTGTTGGTCGTGGTGGATGTATAATACGAACGTCTAGCAACCCGAAGGTTACTACTTTTTAGCTACTTTGCAACTACTTAGCATGTTAGCTAACCCTTCCCCTAACCTTAACCCTAAACCCTAGCCTAGCTAGCATTAGCCATCTAGCTAACATTAACCACCTAGCTAACGTTAGCATTAGCCTCCTAGCTAACGTTAGCCACAACAAATTGAAATTTGTAACATATCATACGTTTTGTAAATTCGTAACATCATACGAATTGTACTTCGTAACATATCATATGAAATGGATGATGGACATCCACAAATTAATACATACCATACGAAATATAACATATCATACTCATTTGAGTGTACCGGATTTACATTTACAATGCTACGTTTACCCCCATGAGTCCAGGTTGTTCTGCGTCTCTGTCTGAAAGGCTTGGAAGACACATTTCAGTTGAATGCATCAGTTTACAACTGACTAGGTATCCCCCTTTCTGTCTCTGTCTGCAAGGCTTTCACTTTGGTCCTTGTTGTGACTCCATGCTGGAGAGTCCTGAGCACGGCTGTCCCTCATCCCCAGACCTTGCCTCAGCTCCACCATGTCTCAAGGGACCCTAGCGATCTGGTTGAGCTCTGCCATCTTCTGGTCAAACTCAGAACTTCTGGTTCCTCTCCTAAGCGGGAGAAACATGTTTCAAGATTCCAGAGGTGAATTTAGTCAAAGATGTTCCAATATAGCTTTGCCTTTTCCCCTCGGATTTCGTTTTGGCCTTATGGCCTTAGTTGCTGACTGCTGCATAGCCTTGACTTTATTATGGACAAGTCCTCTTTAAAAAGGAAAACCAGACTGCTGTGTGGAACTTAAACGGTGATGCTGGCAAGCTGTGGAGTCTCCTTGTTTTTCCTCCTATCAAAACACACAAACAGACTCATAACTGCAGCCCAGTGCTAATAGCCTTGGATCATTTACCTGGTCTGAGAGAGCTACAGTTATGTCAATAGGATCAGTAGATGGAACTTTTGGGAGCTGTTGGCAATTGCTTTGAGGTGTTTGTTCCCTTACTGTCCTCCCAAAAAGATTGTGAACATGAAACTATTTTCTTTTGTGTTTAAATATTCACTGAGGAGTATATGAAAAATTCAAGAAAGATTGAATGGGTTTCATACAGTACATTATTTTTGATCATCCAAGTGATGGCAGAAAATATTAAACTCTTCCAGGTTCGTGGAAACTCCTCATCTCGGCTACTCAATCTTAATCTGGAAAAGGCAAAAATGTTGGATTGCAAAAATCTGGCTGCACTGATTTTAACTAGTAGCAAGGGGAAATTACTGTGAGATTTACCAGGTCAGAAACTTTTTTTTGTTGCACTGTCAATCGGGGTACGAGGGGTGGTTCCTGTGGGATTATTTAAGACACTCTTTGAAGACGTAGGGTTTCAGATGTTTTCGGAAGATGGGCAGGGGGAAACTGTTTCCACCATTGGGGTGCCAGGACAGAGAAGAGCTTGGACTGGGCTGAGCAGGAGCTGCCCTCCAGAAGGGGTGGGAGGGCCAAGAGACCAGAGGTGGCAGAACGGAGTGCTCGGTTTGGGGTGTAGGGTTTGAGCATAGCCTGAAGAAGGGGCAGTCTTGTAATGGATGCGAGCTTCGACTGGAAGCCAGTGGAGTGTGTGGAGGAGCGGGGTGACATGGGAGAACCTGGGAAGGTTGAACACCAGGCGGGCTGCAGAATTCTGGATAAATTGCAGGGGTTTGATGGCACAAGCAGGGAGCCCAGCCAACAGTGTGTTGCAGTAGTCCAGACGGGAGATGACAAGTGCCTGGATTAGGACCTGCGCCGCTTCCTGTGTGAGGTAGGGTCGTACACTACGGATGTTGTAGAGCATAAACCTGCAGGAGCGAGTCACTGCTGTGATATTTGCAGAGACCGACAGGGTGTTGTCAAGGGTCATGCCAAGGTTCTTTGCACTCTGGGAGGGGGACACCATGGAGTTGTCAACTGTTATGGAGAGGTCTTTGAGCTGGCAGGCCTTCCCCGGGAGGAAGAGCAGCTCCATCTTGTCGAGGTTGAGCTTGAGGTGGTGGGCCGACATCCAAGCTGAGATATCTGCCAGGCACGTAGAGATGCGTGTTGCCACCTGGGTGTTAGAAGGGGGAAAGGAGAAAAGTAGTTGAGTGTCATCACATTAGATAGGAGAGACCATGTGAGGATATGCAGAGCCGAGTGACTTGGTGTATAGAGAGAAGAGGGCCTAGAACCGAGCCCTGGAGGACACCAATAGTGAGAGCACGTGGTGCAGACACAGATCCTGCACGTTTCCACTGCTCCAGACTCCAATGGCGGCAAGTTTTACACCACTCTAGCCGACGCTTGGCATTGCGCTTAGCTGTTATCAAGGCAAAGGGTGGCTATTTGAAGAATCTCAGATATAAAATATATTTTGATTTGTTTAACACTTTGTTTGCTACATGAGTCCATATGTGTTATTTCATAGTTTTGATGTCTTCACTATTATTCTACAATGTAAAAAATTGTAAAAATAAAGAAAAACCCTTGAATGAGTAGGTAGGTGTGTCCAAACTTTTGACTGGTAGCGTAGGAGGACGAGAACAGAGAATAGAGATTTAGCTTTGGCAGTACAGAAAGCTTCTGTGACACAGAGAAGAGCAGTCTCGGTTGAGTGACCCGTCTTGAAGCCTGACTGGTTAGGGTCGAGATGATCGGGGTCGAGCGGACCTCACTAGTCGCAGGACTTCATATGGAGAGGTAAGGGGTCAAGGCGTAGTTCTGTGTGAGTGGGACCAGTGGACTCAATACGCTGAGTGAATGAGGAGCAGATGTCGTCAACCTTCTTTTCAAAGTGGTTGACAAAGTTGTCTGCAGAGATGGAGGAGGAAGGGGGAGGGGGTGGAGGATTAAGGAGGGAGAAGGTAGAAAATAGTTTCCTAGAGTTAGAAGCAGAGGCTTGAAATTTAGAGTGATAGAAAGTGGCTTTAGCAGCGGATACAGAGGAAGAGAATGTAGAGAGGAGGGAGGTGAAGGATGATAGTTCCTCTGGAAGTTGTTTTTGCTTAGCTGCCCTCAGCCCTGTTCTGTAAGCTTGAAATGAGTCACTCAGCCACGGAGCAGGAGGGGAAATGGAAGTTATAAATCTGTCATTCTCATTGAACGCAAGTCTAAGAAGCCGTACATATGTTCTATGTGCACTATTTCTATGCTTCCCGGTCTGAAGTTTTGTTTTTGCATACTTTTGCATACTTTCAGTTTTGTACACCAGCTTCAAACAGCTGAAAATACAATATTTTTGGTTATGGAAAATATATTTCACAGCGGTTTATATGGTACAATGATTCTCTACACTATACTTCTCTACACTAAACTGAAATTAGGTGAACTATTAGAATTTTTGCAACCAGGAAATGGTGGAGGTATTTCTGCATAGTGCATCTTTAATTAAATAAAATAAAAACGAACATTAAAACCATTTAAGACGAGATATTTAACAAAAATATGAATAAAATCAAATACTGTAAAGATGTTCATTTATTGCCTCATTACATGCCATACCAGACAGAGTGCTTCACAATCATTCATCAGCAAACCTCCCAACTGAATAATTTATTTAAGCTTGATCAATAATACTGTAACTGCCATTAACCAGATAAAATAATTCTTTACATACTGTATCAACTAAACCATTTCAGTATCGTTCACAAAACATTTCATTCTGTTTACAATGATGTCTCTCTTCCCGTTCCTTTCTTCTTTGGCTGGAATCAGAGAAATTCAACTCAAAACAAACGCAAAGAGGAGCCCAAGATGTACTGCATGGTCGTTGTGAAAAGCAGCCCTCATTCACCAGCATAGAAAGAGTCTAGACAGTGTGTCTCTAAGAGTAATCTATTTACAGCATCCTGGGTCACTATCAACCACACTCATAATCAACCACCACCCCCAACACATTCACACACAACCTATCGCAGGCACCGTACATTTGCAAAGAAACTAAAGGGTTTATGAAAGTCATCCAATGTGATTGAGATTGATTCTGTGTGCAAAACATTGTCATCAGCCGCCCGGTATAGCTTTATTTGGCCATCCCCTGTCTGTCTATATACTAAGTGTATTTAGAGCTGGCACTAGAGTCACCGGCTCCGAGAGGTTCTGGTTCTGGTCAGGTGTTCCTTTGCTTTGAATAACCTTCTGCCGATGTCTTTCCTCCTGTCGCTTTTTCTTTTCCAAGCGCTGCTGCTCTTTCCTCTGCTTGTTTGAAGCCTGAGAGAGGGGTAAAAAAAACAGGTCAAGACAAAAAAGGGGGACTTAAGTCCCTTCTGAATTGAATTGAGAAATGCAGGTCAATTTAATTTGGAACTTGAATTGAAATAGTCACACAGACTCAGAATACATATTCAGAATTGGAATTTGAGTGCAGAGTCGTGGTGTAGTGGTTCCTTACTGTCTGAATAAAACGTGTTAAAACACCTTAAAAATATATTTATTTAAGAATTGCAATTTACCTTGGATTTGTGTATGTTGCCTCCATCTGGTGGTAGTTTGTGCTCACTGCACTCTGTCGCTGCCTCTCTACACGCTGAGCATGATCCCGAGGCACACTGTCCGTGACACACTTGGGCCGCTAGCTCAGAATCCACCAGCCACTCAGCATTGATGGTGGCGGCACTCAGCTGAAACAGATTCTCCTCTTCACCTGAGAGACATGGCACACAATACACATGGGGTCAGTTGCGGTGAATATATCACATCAGATGCTCCTGTTGATCATTATCAAAGGGTTTTTGGATGGTAGCTCCCTCTAAAAGATGGAAATCCCCAAAACAGCCAATTGTATTCAGTTGTATTTATTTGCAATGTTTATTATACATGGTAGGCGTAGACCGCAGATGAATTAAAGTTTTATATGAGTTGGGGTTAGAAAAGCACCCAAAAACGGCCCAAAACAGCTAGCAGACGCTGATAATCAGAATGCACTGGGGGAGAAGACAAAGGGGACACTCACAGTTTGGGCCTCTGTTCTTCAGGGAACTTAGGATCACATTGTCCTCCTCGGAGGGGGTGGGTGATGGGGCTTTCCGTCTGTCCCTCTGGCCGTCACCAAACTCACGCTGCACACTCGAATTATGAAGATTCTGGAGGGACACGAGAGGGGTGGGGGGAATAAGGTAACATTTTATGAATATAGGACTAATCCAATGGTTGAAATATTTGGGAGTGGGTTTTTAGATGAACCGGTCGTTTTTCGTACCTCTAAACGCAGTTGAGCAGGGCTCTCAGAGTTGTCACCGACTGGTCGTACACTGTCGTAATGGTCTCCATAGCGATAGGCAATGTGTAGCTCTCGGCCAACCAGCTTCTCAGGGCCATTTATCTGAATTGAGGAAACATGATGAGTAGGGCCTATCAATAGTGGTATTTCATACAGTCTGTTACATTAGAAGAGGACTTCAGCTTAAAAAAACAGTACAGTGTGCTACAATGTGGTCTAGTAGTAGGACCACATATACCACCTGGCGACGGGGATTCACGCCTCTCCTCGCCAACTTTTTTATCTATGCCCTTCTATTTTTTACTACTCCCCTGTCCACTTTCCCGTTCTTTCATTTAAATAAAAAATGTAACATCAAAAAATAAGCCTACTTAATGAGATTGGGATTCCGATCTCCTTTAAAAACAGATATATAAAATAAGTGTGAATTTCCCCTATTGTGCACTACTTTTAAACAGCTATATGTCTCTAGCCAAAAGTTGTAAACTATATGGGCAATAGGGTGTCATTGAGGTTCCTACCTCCCACAGTGGCGTGTTGAGCTGATGAATGACCACTTTGAGCTGTTGACTACGGGCGAACGCCACGATGGCATCATTGCCAGCAAACGTACCAGGCTGGGAGAGGTTTGACACTGAGAGGAAGAAAACAACAGAGAGAAATATTAGTGACAAGACCTTTTAAAGACACACTCTCCAGGATGACTGGCATACAATCAAAAACTTGGGCATCCCACAACATTTTCACATGGAAATAGCATTTGGTTTCTATCATATTGGGCTGTTTCCTTACAATGCTGTGCGAAGGGCACATCATCCTCCACAAAGGGCTCAAAGTCCTGCCGGTGTGCCATCATGTACTGCACAGTCTCCTGGCGCAGGCGCAAGTGTCCTCGAGAGTGTCCCTCCAACTGGTCACCCAGAGCCCGGAACAGGCAGTTACTATAGGATGGACACACAGTATTAGTCAACGTTGTAACAGCCATTTATAATAGCACTTTGGTTACGTTCCAGGCTGACTACATTTCAGACGTTGCATTGCATCAACCAATGGTTGCGTGCCATGTCATTGATTACACAGTCAGAAATCAGATTGCTATATTTACATTTACATTTTAGTCATTTAGCAGACGCTCTTATCCAGAGCGACTTACAGTTAGTGTATATCATATGATATGTGGTTAGCTTATATATTAAATACCTATCCAGGCGTTTATAGGTCTGCCAGGTGTCTGCAATGTAGTCAGACCTTCTCTCTCTGAATCTTACCCATCTCCAGGCACCTCTCTCAGTTTGAGCCCCAGCGCTTGGAGCTGGTTAGAGAAGCTGACAAACTCCTCTCCCTGGTCCCCGTCCTGTGGCCGGTTCTTGCGGTCCTTGGCGATTGCCCTGCGCGCGACCCGCTCATCCCGCTTTCGCTCTACGTCACACTTTCTGTTGCCGCCACGCAGTGGCTTTCCTGTCTGCTTCCTAGACATGGCTGCCCGGCCTACAGACACAGATCTCTACAGATGCAAGTAGATCTCTCCGTCACTCACTGGCACATGCAGTTGGGTTACTTCCACACAGGTGGAATCCTGTATGTCAGAAAGAAGAGGGAAAGAATAGAGATGATGTAACAACTCAGTTACATCCACATTACACTGACACTAATTGATTGGTACAGTAGTCAGCTACAAAAATATGGTTAACATTAGCTAGTTGTTACACAGTCAGTTCAGTCAGTTGATACGTGGCACAGCATGCAATTGCAACTCTAAATGGGTTAGCTAATTAGCTACAATGTGATAAGGACAACCAAAGATGACTACTGACCAGTTGCATTAGCGTGGTGTCTTATGCCGTAGCTGTCATGCTAGCTAGCTGGTAGATCTGTCATCCTGAATAACAACAACAGCTGACAGGGTTTGATTTCGACTAGTTAGAGAGCCTACTGTACTGGCCAGTTGACGTAAGCTAGCTAGCTAATTATATTATCTGATAAGTAACTAGCAACTGTTATGCCAGCTGGATATGACTGCTAGCTAGGTTAGTCGACTACTTAGCTAGCTAGCTAGCTAGATAGTGTGCAAACGTTAGTGGTTAATGCTAATAGCGTTCTCGTTGATTTGGAGTTAAAAACAACAGTGATTAAATATCAAGCAACCAGAATATAACGAAGGTAACAAGTTACTCACATTCTACAGGAAGCATCCGATGATGCGCAAACCACGTCCTATACAGTAGTACGTAATTTTTTAGCTAAATAATATCTGGCTCATGAGTTTGTTTAATTGGTTTGTTTACAATTCCCGTTCAGCACCACCACTTCCGGGACTAAGGGTACGGAAGCCTGAGAGCATCATACTTTATATATTACTGTCCAAATTCATAACTGTCAACACAAAACAATACATACCCTTTTATTAAAAATCCTATAAGTTTGCGAAACGTTTAGCTCACCTTAAAACCCCTACTTTCAACTGTCTTGAGAAATGTCCATTACTTGATTTGAACTAATCCAAGAATGGTGTAGCTAATGTTGGGAACAATTGGGAATAAAGTGGGGCACTTTTACAGGGAAGGATGACCCCTTGGCAGTGGTCATTGTATCGGCCTAATACACTATCTTTACAACATTTACATAATAGTCATTGTGTAGACTAGGCCTACTTATTAAAGTTGGTTGTGGTGAAGTTCAGAACAAGCTTTCTATGCTATAAGAAAACGTTGCATGTCTATCAAATGAGATATGAAAACAGCTGGTACATGACGGTCAACAGTCATCAAGCCAACAAGCTCTGAATCATGTTAATTTCAGAAATCTGTGTCTTCAGTGTATGACTCAGGATAAAGTGGGAGGGGGTGTTATGTGTTGTAAAGGGAAAAGACTGCACTTTATTATCACTCTCTTTTCTCCTCTCTTCCATTCTCCTCTGAAAAATCTGTTATATTTTGAAGCACCACAATGCAGGCCCTCTTCTCCAATCCTCTCCTCCTTATGACAGAATGCAGTTGGAAAGAGTTGTGTGGAGGAGGAGTGGGTTGAGGAGGACAGAGAGTGTTTGCTGTGTAGAATTCTATCAGACATTGTCAAAGAAGTCGCCTCAGGACCTAAAAATGCATCGGCAGGCATAGAAAGGAAATAAGAATGTATATATAACAAAAAAAAGAAAACACAGTCAAGTAAATACCTTCCCAGTTATAATAAAGATTTGCATTAGAAATTTAGAACGATATGTGTTTTTAGAACGAAATGGATATTTAGTGCATTCGGAAAGTATTCAGACCCGTTGACTTTTTCCACATTTTGTTACGTTACAGCCTTATTCTAAAATGTGTTAAATAGTTTTTTATCCTCATCAATCTACACACAATACTCCATAATGACAAAGCAAAAACCGTTTTTTAGACATGTAACTGTTAAGAGAATTTCTATCTCTAATCCAACCTAAGCTTGAATCATTACCAGAGGTTGTAAGGCTCTGGTTTTAATCATAAATGATTTAAGGTCCACAACCAACAAGAATGATCTGTCTTTTTATTCATGGAGAGCTCTGGCGCCCAAAACACATACATACTGTTTTATATCCCTTGACAAACAAAGGCACTTTGCTCCGCCCACCTTTAGGAGGCTTTTTGTAACCCCTTTTCTCAGTCCCCTTCACCCTGGAATGTTTAGTCCCGCCCCCCTCTGTTAGTAGGTTGACAATACATTATAATTCTTACACAGTTCACACATTTATACTGTATTTGGGGTGAAATCCTTTAGTCATTATTCTTAAAATACAAATTAATCTAACAATCCACCCCTTTGACTAAATATCTTCACCTTCAGGATAAATGTATTTTACAAGCATGATTAATCTCAGAGATCACGTCAGAACTAATAAACATTTCATCCAATTGCGGTCTTTCAGGGTCCAAATCCTCGTCATCCACCAAGCCTGGAGGATAGTTTTTTTTTTTCATTCCCCTGGTCAGAGTCCGGAGTCAGTCCAATCTCTCATCATTGTTTAGATACTGCATTTCACCAACGCCTGATTCACCAATCCTCGGACACAGGGAACAAGACAACAACCACATAATACAAGAATACCCATACAAACACTGACCGCTCCTAAGATGGTGGCTGCTATGGTTTTCCATTTACCAAATATTTCATCAAACCACCCTATCCACGATGTACTAACTTCTGAGTTCTCAGTTCATTCTTCACTTAGTGCAGTTAATTATGTAAGAGCTCTGGTGACTGTCCCATCCAGTGTGGTGTTGTTAGGGATAAATGTGCAACAATGGCTTATCATTCTATAGACACCGGCCCTTTCTGCCTGATCTAGAACCAACCTCTACTAAGTTATGAGCGGGATGGCGGATAATTGCTTGAAGATCCCCTTTACTGCATCTCTAGTCTGGTCAATAAATCGTTGTTGGTTGTAATAGGTATAATTTATCCAATCCATATTTTTGTTTATTGTCACCCACCAGAAAAATGTTGTGGTAAAACCCTCCCATATTTGATTCATAGCTTTGTATTCGTCTGGAACACCCCTGGGGATGCCTATACCATCTATCCAAATTGGGCTATTTCCTTCCTGACCTATATTTCTCCTCCTCCTGATTATTCTTCCTGTCACTGGTGTTTGATGACTAATTCTTACAGGTTTGGACCAACAATACTGGTGCACAAGTACCCACCCATCCTTCTGGTAATGTCTGTCGAATGCTCCCTTTGTTAGTGCATGCCCACCACACATCAGTCAGAGGGATGGTAAGGTTCCTAATTTTTCCCCTCCCATCCTTGTCTAAATCAGTCACATTAATTATCTCTTTACAGCCATCAAAACCACCCAAGTTACAGGTACCATTTCTATGTCTGTAACACTGGTATTCGCCAGGAGTTAAAGTGAATCTAGGTGGGCTGGCCGAGTATGTCCATTTTGCCAGCCCAATCCCTGTGCAATTTGGCTCTTTTTGATTGGACCCCAGGTCTAATACAAAGGGAAACATTGCCTTTGGCATTGGGGCGGTCAACATTGTCGGTTGCCCAATGGAGCATGCATAACAATTGGTCTCCCCCAAGGCCCTAGCGGTGTACTTCATCCACTTTAACCAGAGATTCTCATCAGGGACCCCCTCCACTTCCCCTTGGTTCCATTCTTGGAGGAGAAAATCTTTCATAGTGGACGGGTTAGTCGAATTGACTCCGTCATCCCTTGACTGATCTACTCGGTCTATTGCTGTTAGTGAATTAATGACAGTACCTGTGCCCTCCATATCTTTTGACTCCATCAAATGTAATCTTAGACAAGTATCCCATCTGTATTCGTCCGCGCAAGCCCAGTAAGTTATTTTCATGTCCTCTTTAGTGACCTTTACTATTGTTACTACCATCTCCGTGGGGATGTCGTTATACCTTCTTATCCTCCGTCTGAACGTCCAGCCCCCCCCCCCCCCCCCCCCCCCCGTCTCATCTCTCCGTCCCCCAGTATGTCTAAATACCTGAGCCCAGGAACAATCCGCCGAGGGAGCTGAACATAAATACAATGGGATTTTATAATCCCACATTGCTTGCTTATCCGTCCTGATAAGATCCCTAATCCTAATTTTGAATCTTACTCCCCACCCTTCTCTGACTCCTATTTTGTAGATCACTCGTCCTTGACGGTCAGTATGTCGGGTCGCTTCCCTTTTATTTCTTAATAATGGTAAGGCCATAGCGTAATTGGTGCGAGGTGGTGGTGGATCTATTGCCGAGACTATGATGCAGCTCAGGGTCCCCCATATTCCCAAAAACCACCAACCCTCTCCTGCCTTTAGTCCTTCTGCTTGGTACCACCCCATACTCACACCCTAAGAACACACTACAGGGATGATAGGTCGGGGTAGGAGATCTTCGTTGACAGAGGTGATCCCCGGACCCTATTGGTCTAGTTCTGCTCTCCAACTCTGCGTGTGCTAAGTGGTGCTTGTATGTGGTCTTACCTTCTTGCAGTGGGTAACATGGACCCAGGTTCCTCTCTCTGCTATTCTAATGGCAAAGGCGGTGACCAATATAACCTGATAGGGCCCTTCCCAACAGGCCTGCTTCCAGGTTTCCTTCTAGTGACTGGATGCTCACCAGTCACCTGGTTAGATAGTGGGTCACCTTCTCCTTTAGTTCACCTGTGGGGCACAAAACCTCTGACATACGGGTGTGGTTAATAAACTATCTTCACACATGTTCAGATTAATCTAACAATTTCTGACTGCATTCTCTTTCTAGACTGTATCTAAAAAAAAATGTTTTTTTAAAAGTATTTTGTCCTCTCCTATTATTTAATCCTACAATTAGCCTCTTCCCCCCTCTTGACACATAGTTCTGCTCATGTGTCAATATTACCACCTACCTAAACCATCCCTTAGGTAATTTATCAACCAATTGCCACGCCTTTCATTTTTTAGATTGTCTTTTGCTTCTTTATTGCGCCTCCCACTTCCTTTGTCTTTATGGCAGCTAAATTCAACTTTCATCCAGTTCAGAATCAATTAGTAATCCAAACATCAATCTCTTATCTTGTAAAAACACTTATGTTTAGTTCAAACTCTGTTCTACCCAGG